AAACGTGTGAATATGTATTTTTTATTGTTTATTTGTATAATTTAATTTATACCAGATAAGATTTATTTTTACCGTTAATAAACACATCTTATAATTTATGGTTTTGTTGATTTTTCGGAATTTATACAAAAATATATGAGTTTTTAATAAGAAGATGTAAATCTTATAAGGGGACTCATATAAGAACCTCATCCGATTAGTAATTTAACTTGCAAATAATATTCACATATGCCGAAATCTAATTTAAAATTTGTTGTGGAGTGGTCCGTAATTTTTAAAGTATATATTCGGAAGTTAATCATACTTAGGTTAGGCTGAAAAGATCAGATCCGAATCTTTTCATTGAAAATAACTATGAATGTACCTTTAACCTTTAAGTGTATCAATAGGCTCAGTATCACTTTCTAAGTCGATTTAGCAATGTTCGTCTGTGTGTGTCCATGTAAACCTTGTGCGTACGCACAAAGGACCTATTGAAAATGTTTAAAATCGGTCCAAGAATCGGCAAAACTTAGTATTATATAAATCTAAATGATTCTGCCGATTTTCGTAATGATTAGGCCTCATATGAAAGTCCCCTTCAGAAAATGGCTTGAAGGTCAAAATTTTCTTATAAACACTAATATAACGATGAAATTGTGCATAAATAACTTTAATATAGACGTAAATCCCTCTACCAACATTTTTAAGGATATGCTCACATTTACCCTTGCCCCCAAATAACCCCTCTTTTAGAAAGTATATTTTCAATGCAGATCCCTTGACCCGTTTTGTGCTCCACTTCGGAGCAATCCGTGTAGCATCAGATTCTCCCAGAGGATTGTTGTACTTGTTGTAACAGCTTAAACTATACAAGTTTTAATCCGGGAGTTCTCTATTTATGTTCCGAGGTTATTTGAATGCAGCCCGTTACAGTCCGTAGGGTATTTGGGTTCCATCGACTACGATGCATAAATTCATCGAATAGCTTATCAACGTTGGGCCGTCGCCGTAATGGTTCATTCGTTCTAGGGAGTGTTCATTGTTGTACAGGGGATTGTTCTAGTGCTCCGACTGACATGTCTCACAGTTCCCGATCGGGAACGTCTGGTATTTGGGTTTAACCGTCCAATATGTCCAGTATATCCGATCAGCTCTGAGTGCCGCTTCGTATATAACATGCGTTTCAATCAAAGGAATGTCCAGCAATGTTTCTAAAGTTTTGGTTGACGTAGAACATATAGTTACCTATAGTAATGGCGATAAGATCACGCTCTGTGGCCCCATACTCATACACGTTTATATATTTTCAATATTTATAGAAATTTTCAGCCAGACAGACAGTCGGGAATGGTTAGATCGTTTTTATACCCTTCATTAAAACTAATAAGGACCCAGATAGTAGGCCAGATACAAATTTTCAGCACTATCGATCAAGAACAGCCGGACTTAGAGTGGATCAAAGTTGGACATTTTGGTCATACAGGGTTTTATTGAAATGAGTGTAACTTTTCATTGGTCCTAGCAAACATTGTCAGTTCAGATAGCTATTTCTTCACTGTTTCCAAAAAAAAAATTATGGATCAATGACCAATATTTTGATGTGTTAGAAACGGAATAACGATATCAATATGCCTCCATCTTTTTTGATGTGTGTGTGTGTGCAGTTTGTGCGCTTCAATCAGTGCATCTTAAAAAATGAATCCGTTATGCCCGATATGAATGACCTTGATATATATTCGTTTAATAACCTTGATAATGAAATGTGTATTAAAGCTTAAATACTTTTTAAACAACTTCAAATAGATTAGATAAAAGTGTAGGTGAATATCAAAAGAAAATAAAAACATTAGCTTAACAATTTCTTTAATTAAAAGTTTAATTAAAAATAATCAAAATTTAATAAAACGTTAAAAAAATCCTCAGTTTATTTCCTTCAACTTAATAATAGTTCTGATACTAGCAACTAAAAATGGGCTTGTCAATTAACTAATCAAATTAATGAAATCACTGTGTAGGGTGTTTTCCAAATTGTTATTTAATAATAAATCAAAAAACAAATTAATATTTTGTTGTATATTAATAAACTGCTATAAAAAATATTTATGTCTAATATTTAATTAGCACTACTAGAGTAAAAAGAAGGCCTAAAATATTTACAAAAGCTAAAAAAGTAATGAAGGGGTAAAATATTTAGTTTTATTTATAACATATCATATGAATTATTAGATGAATATATATTTTATATTTATATGTTTAAAGGTGTTAATTTATTAAAAGCATAAATTTACTAAATTTATAATTTATATATTTTAAAAATATATTTCTAAAACTAATATTTGTATGAAAGTACAATATTTTTTTATTACACGTTATATTTTATAAATTTTTTAGTATTAAATTATTTAGTTTAAAAAAGGTGTTTATTTTGAATTTACATGTCAGATAAAAGTGTAAATTTATTTAGTTTAAATTATTATTTACATTAGGGTAGTATTTTAGTAAGTGTATTTCTTTTAAATACCAGGGATATTGAAAACAAATGATGCCTTTCTCAAATGGAAAGTATGATATGAAGTAAGTTTCGGAATTAGGACTTTTATAAGAGTTATGTTCTTGGTTGAGATAACTCAATGAAGAAAAAAATTTATATAACAGATGTTAAACCCTTTTAAAAACAGATTGGACTTTCAGATGTCATAACAAATCTTATAAATAAAGGGATCGGAGCTTTGCGATCCTAAATTTTTTTTATTCAAATCAAAATATTTTTTTCAAAATTGACCAATTTTGGTTAGTGCTGGTGGGGGCAGTGACCGCTTAAATGAGCCAAATTTTATTTTATTATTAAAAAAAATATTAAAAACTAAAAATAGATAGGGATAATTTAAAACCTAAATATCTTTAAAGAGATAACTAATTAACTACCTACTAGTCGCCATTATACCCTTGATTACCTACAACTGTCAATCAACTCGAAAACATCTCAGCTCCGAACTTGTGAAATTTCATTGCGATATATCCATTAGTTCCAGAGATACCGAAAATAAACCACTGTGCTGTATATAGAAAACCTGTTGGATAATGTCTCCAGATATGTCTCTGGGTGTCGATTTTTATTTAATTTTTGTTGACCTGCGTTATCTATAAAAGAATTACGTGCAGGTAACTGAGTTTCTGAACATCAGACAATAATACATTAAGTGAATACTATATAACGACTTTGGGAGCGATATTATTCCGGATATAACATCCCTTACGAAGACTGAACGGAAAATTCTTAGAAATTGCGTCCAGGAAATTGAGTTTCTGAACATCAGACGATAATACATTAAGTGTTTTAACCATTTGCCATAAAAAGAGCACACAACAGGACCGATAGTGGCCTGGGTGTTCTTGTTCGGATTTGATGTAGTTACATCCTCTTATCATCCTAACCTAACCTAACCTAAGTTAAAAATTACGTTTTAATCGTACTCCACCTGTATTAAGGTAAAATGTTTTAATGAACTCCATCAGAGAATTACCGATGAGTATTCAATGAATTCCACTAGGATTTAAGCGGTTTGAGTATTTTATGGACTTCAATAGTCAAAACATAACCTCACTTAGAAGTAAAAAGACAGCACAAGGTTAACGAAGACAACATATAACAGAACAGTTCCCAGTTCACTTTTTTGATCATATTAGAGTCATTTATGGCTCTTTTGCACGATTATAATGATCATATATGCGCTCATTTTCTGATCATAAATGATACTTTCGGAATATTTTTTGTGTAATTTTCGAGTAGAACTTTCCGTCTGCTCGAAATATTATTACGAAATAAATTTATAAACAAACATATTTCGAACACCTGGAAGATGTATTTACGATTGCTTTACATCTTGTTATTGTTTTTTTTTTTACAAATAATTAGGTTTTAATCATATATCGGGATCATTTTTTGAAATTTTTTAAGTGCGAATCTTATTACTCACTTTTAGGTCATCAAAAGGTGTCAACTAAGACTCAATTTACTGATTAATCATCCAACAATCTTCAACATTCTAGCTCTCAGCCAGCATTTTTTGAAATTTTTCATCACATTCGAGTCATTTATGAATCTTCTTCGAGATTAAAATTATCATATATGCGCTCATTTGCTGATCATATATGATACTTTTGTCGGGAGAAAATGATTCCCTATCCGCGACTCTTATTAAAGAGTCTTTAATGAGCCCCTCTTCTGATTAGTTCCGACTCATTTTTGAATATATTTTGAGTATTTTTCGAGTCGAATTCCTCGTCGTTTTGGAGTCATCATATTATAGAAATTTTTGAGACTTTGAGTCAAAATTTAAAAAAAAAAAACAAAACCCTGAGACGTTAGACGTTTCGAATCTGACCTCAGATTTTCTTCATCATATCTGGGATTTGAGATATCTTGTACTGAAATTAGAGAAAACGACATTTTTTGGCCAAAATAATAAAAGTTAGTTAAGGCAACTAAATTAATCGTTTGTCAACTAATTCCATTGTCACAACAAATCTGTTTTCTCTGTCAAAGCAAAACTCTAAACCAAGAGATTAAAACTTTGCTGCCTCTGGCGTTCAAATATTGTTTAAAGTGGTGTAATTGAAAGTCCTAGATCTGGTCCCCCGAGGAAATGCAGCAACTGTTAAAGTTGGAAAAATCGAATTCAAATACAATCTCTACAAAAGCTACGAATATTGTAGCGAAAGGTTTTTATTTCTCAGATTGTTAAATATGTTTTGGAACTACGGGTTTAAAAAAGCAATAAGGACAATAAAGTTGTGAGGAGTTTCTTCACTATTTCTTAACTATTTTTGACAACATTTTGAACTGAATTTTAGGTTCAAATCTCTTAACGTGTAATAAATGATACAATACTGTACTTTCATACCTTAAGCAAAGTTTTTATAAAATAATAAATTGAAAATAAACTATTTGATCTATAAACATTGTTTTGTGTAAATTTTGTATTTTGTAAATAATTAATTGAAAAATTGAAACTCACCTCGTAACCTTTGAGTTTGTAAAACTGTTCATTACGCACCAGAAAGACGAGAGCCAGAGGCAAAAATGCAATTGCAGTGAAAACTAAAAAATAACGCCGTATGGCGCGCCAATATGTCTTGTTTAGACGCATTTACAACATCAATACGAATTCGTCAAGAGTTTCGGTGTCTTTGGTAACGTCTCTCTGTTACTTTAACTTTTTACGCCTTAAGGCTTCTAAGTAATTTTCTTGATTTCACTTCTATTTCCGTCTTTTGCAACAAATTATTTTTTTTTTGTTTTGTTTCACTTTTTTCCTCAATCATACAAAAGACATTTTCAATTAAAACATTTTTCTATTGTGGCGATGTTTTACTTTTTTAGTTTATTTTTTAAAATTATACTATTGTTGTTGTAGCATATAATTACCACCAAGTTTTATATATATATTTTTCTAATTTATTTGCTTTAATTTTCTTTTTATTTTATATTTTATTTATTGTTTTTTGTCTAAATAGCAAACAGTTGTTGAGCAATAGAAAAAATAGAAGAAATATATAAAGAAAATAATGAAAATATAAATTTTTTAAAAAAAAGAACAACAACGATATTTTAATAATTTATGAGTAGTATATATCTTTTTAGTAGGTACAAATTTAGTTTGTCCACAACTACAACAAAAAACAAGTAAGAAATTATAGTCGGGCGAGGCCGACCATATAATACCCTACACCTTTGACAAAAATATATTGTGATTTATTTGCCATAATAAAGCATTTAAATTGAATTGTACCTTGCCTCAGATATACATACTTAAGCCGTTTATTGTTGAATAAAATTGTGGACATTTAAGTGAAATTTTGATGGGGGCTTTTCATAGGGGCTAGGGTCATATGAGGACCTATTATTATGGAATTCGTGTGGGTCATCAAATCTTGTATAGAACTTGGTTTTTGAGGCTTTTTTCGAGATATGAGTATATTAAACATAATTATGAACTTAAAAGCCCTATTCGGCGGGTTCAGTTGTATGGGGGCTAGGTGAAATAATGGACCGATGTAAACCATTTTCAACAGGCTTCGTTTACGGTACCATAAAAGATCATGTGCCAAATTTCATTGAATTATCTCCAAAATTGCGACCTGTAGTTTGATTACAAAGTTTAAAAGCCCTATTCGGGGGGTTCAGTCGTATGGAGGCTAGGTGAAATAATGGACCGATGTTAACCATTTTCAATAGACTTTGTCTACGGTACCATAAAATATCATGTCCCAAATTTCATTGAATTATCTCCAAATTTGCGACCTGTAGTTTGATTACAAAGTTTAAAAGTCCTATTCGGGGGTTCAGTTGTATGGGGGCTAGGTGAAATAATGGACCGATATTAACCATTTTCAATATGCTTCATCTACGGTACCATAAAAGATCATGTGCCAAATTTCATTGAAGTATTTCCAAAATTGCGACTTGTAGTTTGATTTCAAGGTTTACAAGCCCTATTGGGGGGTTCAGTTGTATGGGGGCTAGGTGAAATAATGGAACGATCTTAACCATTTTCAATAAGCTTCGTCCCTGGGACAATAGAAGATCATGTACCAAATTTCATTGAATTATCTTCAAAATTGCGACCTATAGTTTGATTACAAGGCTTACATGGACGGACGGAGGGACAGATGGACAGACATAGCTAATTCGACTCAGAAAATGATTCTGAGCCGATTGGTATACTTTAAGGTGGGTATAGGACCTATATTATTGTGCGTTACAAACATCAGCACAAACCCAATATACCCTCCCCACTGAAGTGGTGTAGGGTATAAACATACAAATTGTGTCATCTTTATTTCACATGAGACACTTTATAGATCAGCAAACACAAAAAAAAAAAATAATATAAAAAAACTAAATAATACAAAATATAAATAATAAAAAAAATATAAAAAAGAAATATGTTTATTTTTCATTTGAAATGAGACAATTTTGCATACTAAAGTAATTTACAGTAGTGTTTAATTATAGTCAAATACAGTATGACTGGGAATAAATGAACCAGTAATTTGCACAACAATAAATATTTCACTTAATTTATATTTACGGAGGAGGAACATTAAAAAACCACTTGAATCTATTTTGTATCCAGCTGTTGTTAGTTATTTAAATGATAAAAGAAATATTTTCTAGTTAAAGTCACTAGCAAAAAGATAATGGCTGTATGACAGACCAAAAAGTATATACTTATAAGATTCTTATTAGTTCTAGTTTGGTCCATGACAGAGGTTAGATTAGGTTACGGTTGCTCGCTAATAAGCGAGTTCATTCGTAGGGCTTGAATTGCCATTCCCTAATCTTGAGTGAATGATTTCCCTCCCTAATTTCGTTGACTACTTGGTTCGTTCGGTCTCCGTGAAAACCAGCCGAAGCTTCTAATAAAACCAATCATCTTTACTAGTGACGCATTTCTGAGGCAGTCCGGATCATGGAAAAAAGCTCTAGCAAGATAGAGTAGTAGTTTGTGCTCTTGTAAGGCTGGGCAGTCACATAGAAAGTGTTGTACCGATTCTACAGTAGCTATAACGTGGGTAGTCCATACGTTCCGACATATGTCTAATCATACAGTGCCCAGTAATTTTACCAGTAAGAAGCCAAATTTTCTTACTAAAAGACAAGAGAGTCCTAGTCCTATCTGTTGTCAGAGTGGTCCAGAGCAGTCTCGATATTCTACAAGTGGTGATATTTGACCACCTGAGTTCCGTCTCACTCAAAGCCCATTCATCTATCAATGTTGATAGGGTCATAGGGGAGTGTGAATATCCTTTTGCGCTAGGATTAAGTCTAGGTTGCGCATTCATCAGATATTTCATTTCCCCAGATGCCCCCAAATCCTGGAACCCATATCAACTCAACTTGATGTTGTCATAGTTTTGCCAATGATTGAATACAATTGAGAAGACATTTCGAAACTTTATTGATGCAAGGCTATCCAGGTATATATATATAATCGAATTTTCGAGATTTAGTTCCCTAATTCTTATGCTTCATATTTTATAAATTAATTGCATGAAATAGTGAGTAGTGAGCAGTTTCAACCGATTTGCTCTTCATATAGACATGTTGACGAACAAGATGTAGAAGTACTTTACTTGAACATCTGCCATGTCGGCCTTATTCTTTGACAACTCACCACCGCCCCTTTGTGGCAATTTTTGCACATGGTTCTGCCAGTCCATGTGCAAACACTTAGTTCGAGTACTCGAGCTATCTAATCTCTGACCATTACTGCCCTATTGCTTCACTTCCGAGATGCAAAAACATCATTTCCATCACGGTCCATGTGTAAGCACTTTGCTCAAGTACTGGAGCTAACTAATCTCTGATCATGGCTGCCCCGTTGCTTAACTTTCGAGATGAAAAAACATCACTTCCGTTTACAACCACGCAGATGAGATGTTCTCTGTTATGTCGGCAACAGCACCTAGAGATGTATTCGGTAGACCGAAACACGAATCCATCAAATAAGCCGATGTCTTTGTTCTTACTCACAGAGAACGCACTGTGGTAAATGTGGTATGAACAGAGGTTTTCCCGAACATACCTGGGCAAGGAAGGAAAATTTGAAGTGATACCATTCTATAAGATACCTTTCATCCATTACCATTCAACCCAACACACTTCTCATGCATTCGACACACCCATAGAGAACAACATCCGACACACTCAATCTATCTACATACGGGCGGGTAAGAGCCGCACTTAACACCAACTCATTTCCAACGCCCACCAAACTTATCCCGAATTATAGATTTCACCGTGTATTGAGTTTAAACCACACCCACTACGTGCACCCCGAAGGGACCTCTCCAATAACCTGGACAAAACAATGTCCGAAACTCTGCCCTGCGGGCTACCGGTTCCCGTGGTACCAGATTATGTGGTTCTCTGGTTCGACCCCTTGTTAAATCATTCCAAGGAAAGGATGAGGATATATTTGATCATCACCAGTTTATAGTCCCGGCAGACAAGAGGTACTGGTAGCATCTCTTTTCCCCACACAGATGGGGTCTTTCATCAAGGTAACATGCCCCCGGGAGGAAGTTGAGGAACAATCGTAGATCTGGAAACAAGATCCCAAGTTGATAGTGACATATACGTCCACTTGTGGATCTATGTAAATATAATGGTCAAAGCACAGGTCGCTTGAAAGATATGTAATTGAACTCATAGTCCACTTAGATCCTCGGTGATTCATTTCAGAGTATGTAAAGATTGAAGAATAATTAATAAAATAAAGAAATAACCCAAGAAGGGAAACAACTATCTTGAGGCCCAAGAGAATCAAACTAGTTCTCTCCAATCAAAGAAATAGCTTATTTCCCTGATAAAAGCCTAGCGTTACATCCTGCACATCCCCCAGTTCGTGATAAAATCTATTTCTAGCCATTTCATCCCGGGACCTTGTTTTCTAGGACAGTGTTTAACTTTCTCTAGTCCGGTACGGTATTGTCTTATTTATTAACGAAAGCCTTAACAGAACAATGCCTCGTTATCATCCCTGTCGCAGTCCCGATACAATATCTATCTAATCCAATAAAAATTATGTTTGCTTTCACATATCGACATAAATTTTTTCCTCAGATAAATCCCATATCAGTTCCATCGCTTTCCAGATCGCTAGGAACTCCTTTTGGAAGTCACTAAATTCGTCCGGGAGTCTGTACAACCTTTTTATATCTAAATCAGCGATGTGGACAACCCCATGCCAGCATTCATTTTAGACCCTTCTATAAATACTGCCCAGCCTTCTAAAAGTTTATATAAGCCTCCCACAAAATAATGCATCCATACGTAAGAATGGGCTTACAATTGATGTGTTGATATCTGATTGCAACTCCTTTCAGATGAAGGTCTTGACATGATCTAACTTTGACTGCCTGAAGTTATCTTCCTTCTAAGAAAAAGTTCCTATTCAGTATTCTCGATATTTACTCCAATTTTTGGGATGTTTTAAGCTTTAGGTTAAGACGATATCACAAAAACCTGATGTGATGGAGAAATTCTAAGATAAGGATTTGGTCTCTGGGCTTTGATTTTTTTTAACAATTTTTGGTCTGTGCTATTGTCCCTAGAAACTCAAGTTCTTTAGCCTTAGTTCCTTAGCTCCAATCAATTTTTCTAAAGAATGTAATATTTGGAGATAATTTTAACGAATCCTTGGCAGAGGAGATCTTTTAGATTTTCACCCTGTTTTTCGTCCTGGGGTCATAGCCGTATGCAATTTTTAGCAGTAGTTAGATTTATGAATAACTAGACTATCTTTAAACCAATTTTTGATATTTTATAGAATTACGTCATAATAATATAAGAAATACATATTATACAAATATCAATTAGTTCCCTTTTCACAAATTCAGAGCCGATGACTAAGATGTTAACAATTTTCCCATATGGTTCAAATGTCCTATATTTGTAAATTGCTGTTTGGGATTTGACAACAAAATCCTTACTGTATATAAATATGTATAAACTTCGGAACCTTAGGGACTTGTTGTCAAATAGTTGTTGTTTTTAACAATTAAATATTACGTTCGTTAGCAGTATTATTTTATTTTATAGTTTTGTGTTTTAGTTGGATAAACAAATGATATTGTTGTTGTTGCAAATCACAGTAGATATTTCTGCTGCTTTTGTGTGTGTGTGTGAAGGAATGAAAACGGGGACAGTGGAAACGGAAGTAAAACAAATTTTGTATGAATTCATAGAAATGTTTTGCACGAAATATTAAAATTGTTAAAACACGAATAAAAGGAAGAAAAATAAATAAAACTTAAACTTAAGTCACAAAGATTAAACAAATAAATTTTGTGTGTGTGTTTGTGTCTAGAAAAAAGGGGTTGGAGCAGTAGTTGCTGAATAAATTCATTCAGTATAGGTATTGTTTATTTCATATAATATTTGTTGTTTTAGGTAAAAAAAAACATTTTTCGAGGATATGCGTCAAAATGTAATAAATTTTTCGTGGCAGGAAGGATTATAAATGTTGTTTGTTTTGTTTTTACTTTATTTCAGGCCAACAAATACATAATAATGAAACATTTGTATAAGAAATTATTTTTTATTGATTTTTTTCTTTTTGCTTTCTAAATCAAAGATTGTTTTTTGAAAATCTCTAAAATTAGGAAGAAAATTGTAGCAGTTTCCTACAAATTTTCCTTTAAATTTTCTTTGTGTCTATGTTAACCACTAAACCTCAAGCAATTTTGCTACAAATTATTTCTTTTGTTTATTTTCTTTTATTTGTTTAAATATTTTTTTTGCACTATTTTTAAAGAATTTTCTTTAGTTTAATTTATTTTTTATTTATTTATTTTAAATTTGTGTTTATATTTATTTGAATTTGATTTAGAGGTATTAATAATAACAACTGATTTTTTTTTTTTGTTACTTCAAATATTTAATAACTTAAACAAACAGCTGCTAATTAACCAATAATTTATTGTTATAATTTTTGCCTTATTCAACTTTTATTCACAGCTCGCAGTTTTTGCTAAGGTTTTCAATTTTATTTTGTTTAATATGAAAAATTCTTATTTTTATTTTGAAATCACACATTTTTGCTTATTTTTCTAAAAAACTTTTTATTATATTATTGTAATTTTTTCACTTCAGTTTTTTTTTTCACGAAAACCCAACAAACGTTATGTACCCTTACGTATGTGTCTGTCTTGTTTCGCGTTTTTACTCGCAATGAAATTTAAATCAATAGGTGGTATATTTTTGCCTCTAGTTCGAGTACCTCGTCGTCGTCGTACATGAGTTTCTCAAGTTGCTGCTTTTCATACTCTGTTTCAGGCATGGAAAACTCAGTACTTTAGTACTTTTAGATGTTTTAAAACAGCGCGGTAGTCCGGTCTATAGTCTAGTCTATAGTCTAGTCTATAGTCTAGTCTATAGTCTAGTCTATAGTCTAGTCTATAGTCTAGTCTATAGTCTAGTCTATAGTCTAGTCTATAGTCTAGTCTAGTCTAGTCTATAGTCTAGTCTATAGTCTAGTCTATAGTCTAGTCTATAGTCTAGTCTATAGTCTAGTCTATAGTCTAGTCTATAGTCTAGTCTATAGTCTAGTCTATAGTCTAGTCTATAGTCTAGTCTATAGTCTAGTCTATAGTCTAGTCTATAGTCTAGTCTATAGTCTAGTCTATAGTCTAGTCTATAGTCTAGTCTATAGTCTAGTCTATAGTCTAGTCTATAGTCTAGTCTATAGTCTAGTCTATAGTCTAGTCTATAGTCTAGTCTATAGTCTAGTCTATAGTCTAGTCTATAGTCTAGTCTATAGTCTAGTCTATAGTCTAGTCTATAGTCTAGTCTATAGTCTAGTCTATAGTCTAGTCTATAGTCTAGTCTATAGTCTAGTCTATAGTCTAGTCTATAGTCTAGTCTATAGTCTAGTCTATAGTCTAGTCTATAGTCTAGTCTATAGTCTAGTCTATAGTCTAGTCTATAGTCTAGTCTATAGTCTAGTCTATAGTCTAGTCTATAGTCTAGTCTATAGTCTAGTCTATAGTCTAGTCTATAGTCTAGTCTATAGTCTAGTCTATAGTCTAGTCTATAGTCTAGTCTATAGTCTAGTCTATAGTCTAGTCTATAGTCTAGTCTATAGTCTAGTCTATAGTCTAGTCTATAGTCTAGTCTATAGTCTAGTCTATAGTCTAGTCTATAGTCTAGTCTATAGTCTAGTCTATAGTCTAGTCTATAGTCTAGTCTATAGTCTAGTCTAAGTCTAGTCTATAGTCTAGTCTATAGTCTAGTCTATAGTCTAGTCTATAGTCTAGTCTATAGTCTAGTCTATAGTCTAGTCTATAGTCTAGTCTATAGTCTAGTCTATAGTCTAGTCTATAGTCTAGTCTATAGTCTAGTCTATAGTCTAGTCTATAGTCTAGTCTATAGTCTAGTCTATAGTCTAGTCTATAGTCTAGTCTATAGTCTAGTCTATAGTCTAGTCTAGTCGTCTAGTCTAGTCTAGTCTAGTCTAGTCTAGTCTAGTCTAGTCTAGTCTATAGCCTAGCTATAGTCTAGTCTATAGTCTAGTCTATAGTCTAGTCTATAGTCTAGTCTATAGTCTAGTCTATAGTCTAGTCTATAGTCTAGTCTATAGTCTAGTCTATAGTCTAGTCTATAGTCTAGTCTATAGTCTAGTCTATAGTCTAGTCTATAGTCTAGTCTATAGTCTAGTCTATAGTCTAGTCTATAGTCCTAGTCTAGTCTATAGTCTAGTCTATAGTCTAGTCTATAGTCTAGTCTATAGTCTAGTCTATAGTCTAGTCTATAGTCTAGTCTATAGTCTAGTCTATAGTCTAGTCTATAGTCTAGTCTATAGTCTAGTCTATAGTCTAGTCTATAGTCTAGTCTATAGTCTAGTCTATAGTCTAGTCTATAGTCTAGTCTATAGTCTAGTCTATAGTCTAGTCTATAGTCTAGTCTATAGTCTAGTCTATAGTCTAGTCTATAGTCTAGTCTATAGTCTAGTCTATAGTCTAGTCTATAGTCTAGTCTATAGTCTAGTCTATAGTCTAGTCTATAGTCTAGTCTATAGTCTAGTCTATAGTCTAGTCTATAGTCTAGTCTATAGTCTAGTCTATAGTCTAGTCTATAGTCTAGTCTATAGTCTAGTCTATAGTCTAGTCTATAGTCTAGTCTATAGTCTAGTCTATAGTCTAGTCTATAGTCTAGTCTATAGTCTATTCTATAGTCTAGTCTATAGTCTAGTCTATAGTCTAGTCTATAGTCTAGTCTATAGTCTAGTCTATAGTCTAGTCTATAGTCTAGTCTATAGTCTAGTCTATAGCCTAGTCTATAGTCTAGTCTATAGTCTAGTCTATAGTCTAGTCTATAGTCTAGTCTATAGTCTAGTCTATAGTCTAGTCTATAGTCTAGTCTATAGTCTAGTCTATAGTCTAGTCTATAGTCTAGTCTATAGTCTAGTCTATAGTCTAGTCTATAGTCTAGTCTATAGTCTAGTCTATAGTCTAGTCTATAGTCTAGTCTATAGTCTAGTCTATAGTCTAGTCTATAGTCTAGTCTATAGTCTAGTCTATAGTCTATAGTCTAGTCTAAGTCTAGTCTATAGTCTAGGTCTATAGTCTAGTTCTATCGTCTAGTCTCTAGTTAGTCTATAGTCTAGTCTATAGTCTAGTGCTATAGTCTAGTCTATCGTCTAGTCTATAGTCTAGTCTATAGTCTAGTCTATAGTCTAGTCTATAGTTAGTTGATGTCTAGTCTATAGTCTAGTTCTATAGTCTCGTCTATAGTCTAGTATATAGTCTAGGTCTATAGCTCTAGTCTATAGTCTAGTCTATAGTCTAGTCTATAGTCTAGTCTATAGGTCCTAGTCTATAGTCTAGTCTATAGTTCTAGTCTATAGGTCTAGTCTATAGTCTAGTCTATAGTCTAGTCTATAGTCTAGTCTATAGTCTAGTCGATAGTCTAGTCTATTAGTCTAGTCTATAGTCTAGTCTATAGTCTAGTCTATAGTCTAGTCTATAGTCTAGGTCTATAGTCTAGTCTATAGTCTAGTCTAGGTAGGTCTAAGTCTGTCTATAGTCTAGGTCTATAGTCTAGTCTAGTTCTATTAGTCTATCTATAGTCTAGTCTATATCTAGTCTATAGTCTAGTCTAGTCTAGTCTCTAGTCTAGTCTATAGTAGTCTATAGTCTAGTCTATAGTCTAGTCTATAGTCTAGTCTATAGTCTAGTCTATAGTCTAGTCTATAGTCTAGTCTATAGTCTAGTTTATAGTCTAGTCTATAGTCTAGTCTATAGTCTAGTATATAGTCTAGTCTATAGTCTAGTCTATAGTCTAGTCTATAGTCTAGTCTATAGTCTAGTCTATAGTCTAGTCTAGTCTATAGTCTAGTCTATAGTCTAGTCTATAGTCTAGTCTATGGTCTAGTCTATAGTCTAGTCTATAGTCTAGTCTATAGTCTGGTCTATAGTCTGGTCTATAGTCTAGTCTATAGTCTAGTCTATAGTCTAGTCTATAGTCTAGTCTATAGTCTAGTCTATAGTCTAGTCTATAGTCTAGTCTATAGTCTAGTCTATAGTCTAGTCTATAGTCTAGTCTATAGTCTGGTCTATAGTCTAGTCTATAGTCTAGTGTTTAGTCTAGTCTATAGTCTAGTCTATTGTTCAGTCGTTAGTCTAGTCTTTAGTCTAATCTTTAATACTATTTTAAAATTTAGATTTTCCATACCTGCTCTGTTTGTGTAGCTTTTGTTGTTGTAAACTTTTCATGTTGCGCTCTCTCTCTTGCTACCCCCCAAAACAATTTGTTTATGTTTATCTCCTCCACCCTTGTGCCTGCTTGGGCTAACAATTTATTGTTATTGTTGTTGCTTTAGTGGGGTATTGTTCTCTCTTGGCATTCTCTAGTTAGTTGTTAATACAATGGAAAATGTTTTATTATTGTTGTACACAATACTACACGTAATTTGCTTTAGTAGAAGAAGAACAAGAACAATAAATACAACAAATAATTTCAGTGACATTGTGCACATTGGAGAGCTAAATAGGATTGCCAAAATGTTGAGGGGTTGCCATTAAATTTGCCGAGAAAAAGCGCGCAAACGCTTTTTGACATATGTATTACATTTTATTTTGACATTGGCAGTTATTTGGCTGTCAAAGTTTTCCAAAAATCTGCCAAATACATCTATATTCAAGATGTTATTACAGTTCTACCCCCATATTCGGGACGTCATAAGACCTCGAATTGTGTATTTTTTAATAATATTCATTGATTGTCTTTGTCATATATCGTTCCTTTTTTGAGATATCTTAAAGTTAAAAAAAAGAGCTTTTCGTTAATGTTGTACCTCGCCGCTACAAGATCGAGCTTTACTAGGTCCGTCCTTCGCAAAGCACAGTGAGATTTGTTTGGATACTCTGACCCAGAAAAACAATTATGGTGAGGTAATCTAAGAGAAAATACTGCTAGTCACCTTGTAATATTGATCCAACCAAAACTCGCTGTCTTAATCTGTTTTGCACCTTTTCAGGTCATTCTTCAGGATTAAGTTCCAGAGCTAATGGTGGACATTGAATGCCAGTAGGACGAGTCAAATTTTTTCGGTCTAATATGGTTAATATATCGGGATAATAGATTGTTGGACAGACTAATATATGTATAAAAGACCGACCGCTTAATAATCTCGCCCACTATGAGAGGTGAAGGAACAAACATTTAACCGATTTATTACGTCAGTGTATTTGATTTAACTCATGCGAAGTCTAAATTTTAGATGATTTAAACAAATAACGTTGAACTAACATACAAATATGTAGATTGGGAATAGACGGCTTATAATGTATGTATCTGTAGACGAAACGATCAGATAAGTGTTCACAATTTTAATGACTCATTATTCTACTGATATCAATTGACTTTTACTAAAGGTTATCTGTTAAATAATAGACAAATAATCAAATGTTAAAACAAGATCGATTCAAATTTTGTTCGTTTGGAAATTGATATTTACATATACAAACTATATTTTTTATAAACTAAATAATAAGTATGATTGACAATAAATTCCATTCATTTAAACATATAATAGGGTAAAATTTAATTGATAGACATATTTATTTTTAATTTATTTCAATCACAAATAAATACAAAAAATATTCACTATAGCTAGGTATTGAGTGTACTTTTACACTAATGAGAAAATGTTAGTAAAATTTTATTTTCAAAGTTTTTAATATTTTCTAAAGTTCTTCTCTATCTAAATTACGTCTTATATGTCTGAATGCCAAGAGACAAAATGATTTTATTATTATTATTGACTTTATTTACACACATTTATTTATTTAAAAAAATATTTTACACAAAAATATATTTTTTTAAAAAATTTTTAAATGCATTCATTGCTTCAGGTATACATACGTATTTGTCTTCTATTGCGTTTTAAAATTAAATTGTGCTTAGTTTTTTCTTTTAAATATCCGGTTTTAGTATTTTAAGAGGGAATGAACTTTGCTATCGACTTTTTTGCGTCCCTCTAAAAATTCCAATTCCATAACAACCAAACACTTAACAACTTCACCGCCCGCTTTGCGTACTAGTTTAACAGCTGCCTCCAAGGAACCACCAGTAGCCAATAGATCATCAATAATAAGTACCTTTTGTCCGGGTTTAATGGCATCGGTTTGAATTTCGAAAATGTCCTGAATAGGGAAAGAAAAAAATTTTCAATAAAATTTACCATAAATTTTCATTTTATAGAATATTTACGATAAATTTTCGTTTTAAAGAAAATTTACGATAATTTTTTTATTTCTATAGAAATTTTACGATAAATTTTCTTTTTATAGAAAATTTACGATAAATTTTGTTTTTGTAGAAAATTTACGATAAATTTTGTTTTTGTAGAAAATTTACGATAAATTTTGTTTTTGTAGAAAATTTACGATAAATTTTGTTTTTGTAGAAAATTTACGATAAATTTTGTTTTTATAGAAAATTTACGATAAATTTTGCTTTTATAGAAAATTTACGATAAATTTTGTTTTTATAGAAAATTTAAGATCAATTTTCTTTTTATAGAAAATTTACGATAAATTTTCTGTTTATAGAAAATTTACGATTAATTTTCTGTTTATAGAAAATTTACAATAAATTTTCATTTTATAGAAAATTTACGATAAATTTTCATTTTATAGAAAATTTACGATAAATGTTCGTTCTATAAAAAATTTACGATAAATTTTCGTTTTATAGAAAATTTACGATAAATTTTTTATAGAAAATTTACGATTAATTTTCTTTTTATACAAAAGTTACGATAAATTTTCCTTTTATACAAAATTTACGATAAATTTGTTTTTTATGGAAAATTTACGATAAATTTGTTTTTTATGGATAATTTACTATAAATTTTCATTTTATAAAAAATTTACGATAAATGTTCTTTTTATAAAAAAAATTATTAAATTTTCTTTTTATAAAAAATTTACGATTAATTTTCTTTTTATAGAAAATTTACGATACATTTTCTTTCTAAAGAAAATTTACGATAAATTTTCTTATTATAAAAAATTTACGATAATTGTTTTATAAGAAATTTTCAATATGTTTTTCTATTATAAAAAAAATTAACGATAAATTTTTCATAAAAAAATTCATGGCAAAATTTTCTTTTAATATAAAATTTACAATAAATTTTCTTTTTATAAAAAATTTACGATAAATTTTCATTTTATAGCAAATTTACCATACATTTTCGTTTTATAACAAATTTACGATACATTTTCTTTTTAAAGAAAATTTACGATAAATTTTTCTTTTTATAGGAAATTAAAATTTACGATAAATTATCTTTTCATTGAAAATTTACGATAAATTTTCTTTTAATAGAAAATTTACGATAAGTTTCCTTTTTAAAGAAAATTTACGATAAATTTTCTTTTTAAATAAATTGTCTTTTTAATAAATTGTTTTTCTATTATAAAAAAAATCGTTAATTTTTTCTTTTCTTTTCATAAAAAAAATCATGGTAAAATTTTCTTTTAATATAAAATTTACAATAAATTTTGTTTTTATAAAAAATTTACGATAAATTTTCGTTTTATAGCAAATTTACGATACATTTTCGTTTTATAACAAATTTACGATACATTTTCTTTTTAAAGCAAATTTATGATAATTTTTCTTTTTAAAGAAAATTTACGATAAATGTTTCTTTTTATAGGAAATTTACGATAAATTATCTTTTCATTGAAAATTTACGATAAATTTTCTTTTAATAGAAAATTTACGATAAGTTTCCTTTTAAAAAAAAATTACGATAAATTTTCTTTTTAAATAAATTGTCTTTTTATAGAAAATTTACGATTCATTTTCTTTTTATACAAAATTTACGATAAATATTCTTTTTATATAAAATTTATAGCTCAACTCACCGAACCATATTCCAAAGTGTATTCAACTGATACACATTTTCCCGGTAATTTTCCCTTCTTGCGTATGGGAGCACAACCAATTCCCAATTCTGATGCCAGCATCAGATTAAATAGGAAACCACGTGATTCTAAACCGACAATAATATCAACATCGGGATGTTCAGTGCGTACATGTTCCAATAAAACTTCTTTAATATATTTACATGTTTGACCATCAGTTAAGGCTCCAAAAATATCGCTGCAATGCAAGAAATAGCACAATTTTATAAAATAAAAATATTAACCTAATTTTAACAAAAAACTTACCGGAATACAATGCCTTTTTTGGGAAAATCGGGATGAACTCCAATATGTTGATTAATATAATCCAATTTTTGTTGAGTATTCATTTTGTTCAATATTTGGTTGTTATGGTTGCTCTTTGGCTACTTGTTAAATATTCTATTCTGGTGCCTTAATGACTTCTATATGAACTGATTAAAATTTTAAATCAATTTGGATGTTACTTGTGGGGAACAGAATACTGATAACGAGATAATAGTTGGATGAAGTATTTGATATTTACAACATTTATTTTTAATTTATAATTTTATGTCTTTTTATGTACAAAATTCTATATGAATGTCTATACTATATATGTACAAATGCTACCAAATATATATGATTGTTTGTGTGTGTATAGTTGGAACACACATGGATTAGTTTCTTGAAGTGCTGATAACAACAGCCGTTTTTGACAGTTCACAAGAACAGCTGTGTTCTGTAGTCAGCTGGTATCTTTTAGATGTTTTATTTATTTCTAAAAAGAGCTTTCATAAAGCTTTTATCTGTTAAGTTTAAAAAGTTTTGTTGATTGTGCGATACTTGATTTAGTGGTTAGTGTTTCTAACCCTTGTATTACCAGGTGTACAAATTTTAGTTTAAATACAAAATATGCTTAGTTGAGAGTTTATATTTTTTTACACTGTCGGTTCTAGATTTATTGTAGATATTTTATTGATTTTTCAATATCAATTTTAAATCGAGTTTCCGGATCACTTGAAAGTTCTATGAGTCCGTAGAATAAAAAATGTATGATACTGATCAATACAACATCTGAAGTTTCCGAGAAAAATTAAGTCTCAGCAAAGGATTATTTAGAATGTAATTTGAGACTGCAGTCACTAGGGTTCTTCTATATTCCGTTTTCGGAAAAATGGTGAGAAATAAAGTTGATTGCAAATTTTTGCTATTTTTTCTTAGAAAACTTTACTTTTTCTGTCGGTAAAAATCATTGCTTGGTGAGACCCATCAGAAAAATAACTTTCAAAGAAGTTGCCATGTTTTATCACAGACGATATTCATTGCTTGAGAATAATTTCAAAGGAAATATGGAATATAGAGGAAACCATAGTCTGGGCTATAGTGTGGACTATATAGTATGGACTCTAGTCCAATCTGTAACAGAGTATTGTCTGTAGTAATTCTTTTGCCGTAGTTAGTTAGTTAGTAGTAAGTTAGTTAGTTAGTTAGTTAGTTAGTTAGTTAGTTAGTTATTAGTTAGTTAGTTAGTTAGTTAGTTAGTTAGTTAGTTCGTAGTTAGTTAGTTAGTTCGTTAGTTAGTTAGTTAGTTAGTTAGTTAGTTAGTTAGTTAGTTAGTTAGTTAGTTTAGTTAGTTAGTTAGTAGTTAGTTAGTTAGTTAGTTAGTTAGTTAGTTAGTTAGTTAGTTAGTTAGTTAGTAGTTAGTTAGTAGTTAGTTAGTTAGTTAGTTAGTTAGTTAGTTAGTTAGTTAGTTAGTTAGTTAGTTAGTTAGTTAGTAGTTAGTTAGTTAGTTAGTTAGTTAGTAGTTAGTTAGTTAGTAGTTAGTTAGTTAGTTAGTTAGTTAGTTAGTTAGTTAGTTAGTTAGTTAGTAGTTAGTTAGTTAGTTAGTTAGTTAGTTAGTTAGTTAGTAGTTAGTTAGTTAGTTAGTTAGTTAGTTAGTTAGTTAGTTAGTTAGTTAGTTAGTAGTTAGTTAGTTAGTTAGTTAGTAGTTAGTTAGTTAGTTAGTTAGTTAGTTAGTTAGTTAGTTAGTTAGTAGTTAGTTAGTTAGTTAGTGTTAGTTAGTTAGTTAGTTAGTTAGTTAGTTAGTTAGTTAGTTAGTTAGTTAGTTAGTTAGTTAGTTAGTTAGTAGTTAGTAGTTAGTTAGTTAGTTAGTAGTTAGTAGTAGTAGTTAGTTAGTTAGTTAGTTAGTTAGTTAGTTAGTTAGTTAGTTAGTAGTTAGTAGTTAGTTAGTTATAGTTAGTTAGTTAGTTAGTTAGTTAGTAGTTAGTTAGTTAGTTAGTTAGTAGTTAGTTAGTTAGTTAGTTAGTTAGTTAGTTAGTTAGTTAGTTAGTAGTTAGTTAGTTAGTTAGTTAGTAGTTAGTTAGTTAGTTAGTTAGTTAGTTAGTTAGTTAGTAGTTAGTTAGTTAGTTAGTTAGTTAGTTAGTTAGTTAGTAGTTAGTTAGTTAGTTAGTTAGTTAGTTAGTTAGTTAGTTAGTTAGTTAGTTAGTTAGTAGTTAGTTAGTTAGTTAGTTAGTTAGTTAGTTAGTTAGTTAGTAGTTAGTTAGTTAGTTAGTTAGTTAGTTAGTTAGTAGTAGTAGTTAGTTAGTTAGTTAGTAGTTAGTTAGTTAGTTAGTTAGTTAGTTAGTTAGTTAGTTAGTTAGTAGTTAGTTAGTTAGTTAGTTAGTTAGTTAGTTAGTTAGTTAGTTAGTTAGTTAGTTAGTTAGATAGTCTTGGCCAGAGTCCATTCTGTAGTAGGTATTTACTACGGTCCAGTCTACAGTACTGATTACAGTACAGCCTGTACTTTTGAATACAGTCCTTCTTAATCTTCACTACAGTCCAGGATATTGTCTTGACTAAGGTCCAGTCTGTAGTCTTCACTACATTCCAGTTTGTAGTCTTCACTGCAGTCTGCACTTGGATCTTGTCTAAAGTCTACTTTATACTCTTGAATATAGACTAGTCTAGAGGATATTCTACACTATAGTCTAGACTTTTAAAGAGTCCATTCTATAGTCTAGTCTCTACTATATCGTAGTCTAATTTACATGTACCATAGACAAAGTCTAATTTATTGGCTGCACTATCGCCTACAGTCGGGAGGATGATCTAAACTCTACTTTGAACTATAGTTTAGTCCATAGTATGGACTTTAGTTTACCCTATAGTAAAGTTCATATTTTCGACTTTAATATAGGCGATATTATACACTATATTCTGCAGTCTAGTCTAGAAGTAACTTTTATTAAAAAGTGCGTATGCGAATTTTCTGTAAATTTGGTAAATAGTTTCACTCAGTTATGGTGCATATTTAACAACAATTTGCAATTAATATTTAACTGTTAAATATTTTCAAAATAAGCGTAAGCTACAACGAATATTAAATCTCTTATCAAATTTCCGTTTATAACCAGCAGCTTTTAATATCAAGAACCATAACAAATCATACAATTACGTAAAGTGTAAAAAAATCTATCTTAAGAAGCTGATAATAAATAACAAAAAAAGTGATTGAATCACAAGAAAAATCATAATGATCAAACAAAACGTTGAGTGAAACAAAATCTTAAAAGATTTTTAGATTAAACATACACACACGTAGTTTGCTGAAAAATAAACAAACACAATACAATTCATTAAGACAGGTGCTAAACGTATGCATTTTTTAATGATCACATATACAAAAAGTAAAAAAAATACAAATTAAAAGATCTTAGAAAGAACGTTATAAAAATATTACCACAAAATAGAAAAAAAAACAAGGTAAAAAATCGTAAATAGAATAAGATCATATAACAATAATAAACTGAGGCACAGAGAAAAAGTTGTAAATATCATAGGAGAAAGAGAGGGATTATTGTTCTCAAAATAAGGTGAGAGAGTGCATAATGAGAGTAGAGTTACAATGTTGGCGAAAAGCGTAAATAATGCATAATGGCACAAAATTGGAAATAAATTTGCTACTAAACATCTGATTAGATAGAGATAAAATATTTTTGGCGCGTCAAATCGAATTGTTAAATGTTAGAATTTTTGTTTTTCATCCGATATTAAAGATTTTTATATTTTGATATTCCTCAGCCGATTTTCTAAAAATTTTGTTTTTTTGAAAATGCGAAAGCAAGGAATCTCATAAATAATGTGCGAAATAGAAATAAGACCTCAATTCTATCTTTCTATATGCGAGAGAAGATTGATTACAATGCTAAAGAGGCGGCATAAGTCATTTTTGATCGCCCTCTTCCTCAGAAAATGTTCATCTTCACGAATGCATAGTCACCTACTCAATATCTTATTGTCTTGGAATTTGTAGATATTGTTGGAAGAGTTCAACCTATTCCTAAAACTCCTCAAAGCCTAATAACATCCGCCCAAAGAAGAAATTTGCGTCTTAGTGAATTCACCAGGTGTTTTAGACCTGAGTAACTCGATTATCCTTAAGACGGAACACCTTGTAGTTGCAGCATGATTTAAAGGCTGTTACGCCGAAGATTTCGTGCTTAACCCGAAGAAGGGTTCTTGGCCGACTTGGTGATCAGGGCTTTAGCAACTTTTGAGACAATTGCAGAGAGATCCATAGGTACTTTGTCACTTGTAGAACAACTACGGATCGCAATATTTTTTTGCATTCAGCCAGCCCTGGACAGACAGAGATTATGAAGCCTGGACCGGCTTTCAGGGCCTTGATTCTTTCTTACTGTTCATTGTTATGTCCTAACTTAATCCGGGATTAAAATTTTACGATTTTGAGCAAGACTAAGCATACAAAGTAACCTCCGAAAAAATGGCCCTATCTTTTATATTGGTTCTGTAAATTATGAACCCGTTGTGATATCCTAGTGGTCATGGAGTTCTTTATAGAATCGCTTACTATTTCCAGATTTAAACCAACCGGTTCGATTTAGGTAGTTAAGGATATTCATAAGATTTATTCCAGATAACTCCTAAGAGAAAAGGATAACCAAATTACTACTTACACCGTGATCTCAGTAAATGTTGGATTTACTCATTATGACAACTTCTACAATAATCATTATATTCTAGAACCAAGTCTTCTGTTATAATTGTCATTACTAACGATCTTATAGTAACCTTATCTTAACAGTAATCTTGACCTAGCCGATTCATTAAGAGGCCAAACTGATCTCGAAATAAGACAGATGGTGCCAAGTGCTTTAAAATTTGTAAGGGAAATACCAGTAAAGGCGTCGATTTCATCCCCCAACATTGCACCATTCCAGGCGAGTTCGTCGGCTATATAGTTACCCTGTCAGTAACTAAGTATGTCCAGCGGCCCATATACATAAGCGTTATCCTCGAATCTCATTTAGAGATACCCTGGATTCCTCTGTTGAGTCCATGATTTCATCTAGCCCCCAAACAAACGGCCCCCCGGAATACAGTTGTAACAGAAATTCAACATTGAGATTTGATCTATATTTGACCCTACCTGTGTAACCCCTCCTACAGAAAGAATGTCTGAGTGCTTAACGTGAACACCTGCCTGACGGCCTTTTTTCGGTTAACTTAGAGTGTAGTCCCAATCGCACATTTGATGCAATTCTGATCTAAAATACATATAAATCCCATGTATGGTTTGGAATACCAAAGATTAGTCTAAAATGGCTTGACCGGGTTCAATGAAAGAAGGGGCACCACCGGGAGTTTCGCTTCTCTTGCAGCTATCAGTGTAAACATTCGTTGAACTATCTACATCTGATCTAAAATACTTGTCAAAGATTAGTCTAAATTTTATTTACCGGATTCAATGAAAGAAGGGCGGATCTTACAAAATACAAAACTGTTATCAGATCTATAGTTTCTGTTATCAGTTCCGGATTGGGTTTCGGTTTTAAATAATACAATCCTATAAGTAAGGCAAGTAACACAGAACTATTTCCGTTACAGATTTATTATTCATCATCGCCTGTAGTTTTACGCCTGACGCGTCATCATAGATAAGTCTAAAATTTATTTACCGGGTTCAATGAAAGAAGGGCGGATCTTACAAAATACAAAACTGTTTTCAGATCTATAGTTTCTGTGACCAGTTCGACGGATTCCGGGTTGGGTGAAGATTTTAAATAATACAATCCTATAAGCAAGTCAAGTAACGCAGAACTAGTTCCGTGATATATTAATTTAACAGCGACTTATTCACCGTCGCCTGTGGTTTTACGCCTGACGCGTGAATTCTAAAAACACACAAACCTACAGAACAGCTTGAAATAAGACAAGACTCAAATAAAATGAATGAGTACGATAAAATGTTTGAGTTTCAGTTTAGTTTTAAAAGCGACTACCTGAGAAATAGACGTGTTTTCTTAAACGTTTCATTTAAATTAAAAGAGAGCGTGGCATAAAAGAACCAAATATAAAATTTTAATAATAATAAAAAAAAACAAATTATTAAAATCTTTATTAAATATAAAGAAGTGTTAATAAAAAACAAACGAGTTTTTTTTTTAAATCAAGATTTAAGAAAAAATATTTTTTAGCAGAAACAAAAGTAAAACATAATTTTATTAATAATTTCTAAAGATATTATTAAACCAGCAATATTAAGTTTTTTTTAGAAAAAAATCAAAACTAAAACCAGTATTGTTTTTATAGCATTAAAAGGTCACTTGTTTAAACGATTTAATTTAAGTTCAATACAGTTATTGAATATTGTGTTTAAAAAAACGGTGAATTATTTAAAATATTAACAAAAAATAGATATTTTTTTGAGTGCTAAAAAGAAGAAATCTATAAAACCAACAAAAAATTTAAGAAAACCTGTCTTGTATCTTAAAAATACAAAAATAAAGCAACAAGAAGAGACCCTGTGTAACATCACCATTAACAACAACAACAGCAGCCGCAGAAGCAGCAAACAGCGTTCCAAAACAAACCCACCAACCTTCGCAGAATCTCACATTTTAACCACTTCTTTGAGATCGTTTTTTGTTGTTGTTGTTAGTTTTTGCGAGTCGTCTAGTATTTAATGGATACGTACGGTTTAATAGTAAAACTACTGCTACACACTACGTTTGCCACCAATACCAATTCACAGAGGCCAGCAGCACTGACTGCATAAATAAACACAGATACTAAAACTATCTCGAATGTGTTTCCGTATCTGTATCTGTGTCTTTTAACTATTTCAATTTTTAAAATGTTTGCAAACATGAGAATCGTGATCTAATAAACATGAATTTTAATAATTTTTCAAAACTGAATGAATTTCTATAAATATCAATAATTCAACAAAATATATAAATCAAAATCTAAACAATTTGAATAATTTACTTAAATAAGTGATGCTATTAATTAAACGATAATTCCCCCCCAAAAAAAAATCATTTAAAATAAAAGAGAAATTTTTCCTACAACTAAATTTTTAACTAAAGGAAGTCATTCGCATAAGATACATGCCCAAAAAAAGAAAGTTTGTTTTTATTAAATATTCATAATTTTCGGTGCAAAAAAAAGTTAAATCATCCTATAAAAACATATTTATAAAAAAAGCTACAACAACAACGAAAAACCTTTACTACTCCCTGTTTAAGTGCTACAAACCAGAAGAAGTTTATTGTAAAAACAACAACTGCCAGACTTGTTTCTTTCTTTTTTTTTTGCGCAAAACATAAAAAAAGAAAACAATATTTCGACTATTCGTTCTTTTTCCGCTTCTCCGTATTTTTGTTTATCTTCTTTTTCTTTATTAACAAGATATAACTACCAACAATAACAACAACAACACAAGTCGAAAAGGTAAGTAAACCAAATGGTTACATGAATTAACCCTCAAACGTAGTGAGAATAACAATTTTTTTTGGCATATGTCGTCAACAGTAGTGAGTGTAGAATTAGTACATTTCTTGGAATCTTAAGTTTTAAGAACTATACATATGTATGTATATAATGAATTGACCGATATTTGTATCAAAACTCTAAGTTAGTCTTTGTTACATTGAAATATTGATATATGTACATATATATTCTTATAGTCTGGGTCCTAATTAGATTCTAAAACGATTTAAATCACGATAGAGTTCGAACTGAAGGACATAAAGGACACAAATATTGCCTATCGATAATGGGCAAATGAGTCCACGATTTCATCTAGCCCATACAAATGGCCCCCGGAATATAGTTGTAATAGAAGTTCAACATAAACTAGTTTTATATGAACTAAAATTTTATGAGGATTGGTCCATATTTTACCCTACCAATATAACCCCTCTTACAGAAAGAATGTCTGAGTGCTTAACGTGAATACCTGCCTTGACGGTCTTATTTCACGGTGTTTTTTTATCTACTGGGTAGACTTGAGGCCTATCATGCAACCTCGAGTGACTTCGCTGAAGAACACTCAGGTGGCAACTTTTGTACATGGCAAGGACATTGTTGGAGTACTCGAGCTTTCTAATCTCTTTGTGGAACGATAGGTAGCAACAATAATACCGCGACAGGCGGAGAAATGACGGTCGAATTAGAAAAGAGGAGTTATGAAGCCCCAACAAATGTACCCGATAAATTCATAATCCCGATGGACCAACAGATATAAGCATTGTCATTAGCGATGCCGTAGCGTCCCCATCTTCTAATGATCCGTACAGCCAGATTTCTCGTCCCTCAGTCGCACAACCACACCACAAGGCCAGGATTCGTCTGTATGTCTATTCAATCTAAAGTCAATTCAACCCAATAATATCCAAATTCAATCCAACCCGACAAGTTGAGTGATGGGCCTCAACCATAAGTCGCGTAGCATGTAACAATATGCCTCCTGTTGAGATGGCAACAGCATCGAGAAGTAGAAGGTATACTAAATCAGTTCTAGTCTCCTGTCGAGGAGTCTTTCCCGATCGTTCACCAACTTAAATTAGTTCCATTCTCAGACCATAAAGAACGATCTACGTAATGACAGGCAACTACTGAGTGTCAACCTGAAAATTCCCTAACATATAATGGCGCACTAAAACGCTAAAAGTAAGATATACTCAACGGGTTCAGGAATCCAGCACAAGTTGCTCTGTCACATCACCCAGTGACATCTGTTGAGAAGGCAACAGCAACGAAGATAGAATCCAGACATGTATTTGGATATATCAGTCTTTAAACCATCATTCTCTCTCATTTAAACCATCATTCGTAACTTTCGATTATTTCGATTATCCCAAGAAAATAAGTCGAACAAATAAGCACATCCTCGATCTTGTATGCGGTAATTCGACCCCAGTTCAGTAATAACTCATTAGAAAAATCATTAAATTCCTCAACAATTATTTGTTATTAGAGAGGGCAGTGAGAACTACCCCATTTCGTTTCTTTTGCAGCTTATTGATTCACTATACAGGTTTAAGTCACTTAAGAAAATAGTGGGTTTGATTGGTGAAAGTTTGAGTATATCCTTTGGGGGTTAGAATTCTGATATCACTTTTGTTAAGCTATAACTGCTTTTGGGATTTACCCATTGATAGCGTAATTAAGCGCTTTATTAGTCTGAACCCTGTTTTAGTTTCCCAAAATTGGGCAAATTCCGATTCGAACCACGATTTGCATATTTCTTTGGTGTGCGTATTAGCGCTGAGCTTCCCTATTTGCAAAGCAGTCCACCCGTTCATTGCAGGGGTGAACTTCATGTCAAAATATCCAGCATAATGCTAACTTGTTGTGTCTACAATTGACCTAAGCCTTCATTTAAGACCCTATTATGAATATACACTGATGTTGAGGATATATCTCCATAGATTTTCGACGCTATTTCGCTCGCCCAAAGGTATATAACCTTTTCAATACTTCACAATAGATAATATAGATAAAAATTTCCACTCTATCGGTTAACTAACGACAGTCAGTATATATTTCGTGAGGATCACTCTATGTGAGACATTCTTTAATAATCGTGATTCTAAATATCTCCAAGCTAAATACTTTTGGTAGCTGATCACCTCAAACGCATGGTATAGTTTTGGAATTTTCATGAGAACCCAGATAGCTAGGCATTATATTCGACCTAAATAACTCTCTTGCAAATAGATATTGAATATATAAAGCGTTCTGTGGACTTAGATATTACTAAGCTTTGAGATTGATTTGGTCACTGACCGATTTTGGGCGTATTTAGGTGTATTTCTGCTTTATCGGTTCATAGACTTAGATATTACTGTACATTGAGACATGATCGATTTGGTCACTGACCGATTTTTGTACGGATACACAAAACTTTAGCAAGATCTTCCAATTTAGAATAGAAACAAGAGAAGACTACGTTGCAAATGCTGTTCTTTGGGACTACGTAATTTCAGTCTAATCTGAGGGTTAATAGCTGTTACTAGTATTGGCTCGAAAACTCTCTCTGATGGGATTTATCTCTGGAAATCCATAGATTTTAATTCTCTAAAAATGCGGCCATCTCCAACGTAATAAAACCGAAAGGTCTTCCCAATTGTATTCGCTGACACTGCTACAAGAGGAGGCTTTTTGGTACTTTTCCTTTTTTAACCGATACTTTTACAATTTGCTGTAATATTGAATTTGAAAAATGAAATTAAGTATGTCCAACTCGGAGTAAATGAGAACCTCTAAATGGGGACTTTTTGGTACTTTTTCGTTCTTCAAAAAGTACTTTTTTGAATTGTCTATAATATTGAACCTAGAAACATAAAATTACACATTCAGAGTTCTGATTGGGAGTTAAGCTGTAGTAAAGTATTTTTAGTACTTTTTCGTCCCTCAACTGGTCTTTTTGAATCTTTTATAATATTGAACGTAGGATCGAAAAAATGAAATACGCGGCATACTGATTGAATGAAACTTTAAAGGAAACTTTGCGGTACTTTTTGTTTTGACTGAATCTGGCTTGGAAATTTCTCTATCACATAATGTATTCGAGATATAGTGTCCTAAAATTAAAAAAGATTCCCCTTTTGACCATATGTGGGACCTTATAGAAGCGCGAAGACATCTTTATTAAACATTTGTTGGCCTGTGTTAAAAAAGTTGTGGGAGTATCAATGTTTCAATTTAAGACATAAATGGAACGACAGATCATCATTTTGCTTCAACAAACTTCATACTTAGGATAGGTTAGGTTGATAGGATGATGTATACTACATCAAATCCGAAGAAATACACCTAGGCCATTATCAGGCCTGTTGTGCGCTCTTTTTCATGAGAAAACATTTTTTTTTTTCCTGAATGTATTATTTTTCAAAGTTCAGAAACTCAGTTTCCTGGACGAAATTCTTAAGAATTTTCCAATCAGTTTTAGTCAGGAATGTTATTTCTGGAATAACATCAGTTCTAAGTTACTTAGATCTAACTTCGACAAATGCCTGATAGTGGCAAAGAAAGTGCGCCAGAGTTTCACTGTCCTTTCCACATTCTCTATATTCGTCTGAATCCGCACGTCCAATTTTGTATAGATGTGCTCGTAATCCTGTGTGTCCACTCAGTGGTAAACGGTGGTATATTTCTGTTTCTGTGTCTTCAATATAGAACCCTAGGACCACTTTGTCCCCAATTATGAACCGTCCGTATAACAACGGATTCCTACTGGTATTGGTTGAGATCAGCGTTTTAAAGTTTCCGACATAATCTATGTCTGGTATATGATCAGGCACGTCCGGTGATTGTGTATACCCTTTCAATGTGTCCAGTTTACATCGATGACCTGTCCTCTAACCTTTTTTGGCCAGTTTTCTTAAAGTGAAGAGCCGTTCGGCTGTAAGCGCTGCTTCATATCTTAGATATGTTTCAAGGGGTGGAATATCTAGCAACGTTTCCAGAGCCTTGGTTGAAGTAGTACACATGACACCACTTATACCCAAGCAGCATGTGCGCTGAACTCCCTGTAATAGTTTGATATTACACTTTTTGTCGAAAGATTATTGAAGCATAAGCTAGAATTGGTCTAATTACACTTTTATAAAGCCAATTTGTCATAGTAGGACTAAAACCCCATTTCATGCCTATAGCTCTTCTACATATCGCCCAGCACCGATGTGCCTTGTTGATCCTATCCTCTATGTGGTGTCTCCATTTTAATTTCTTCATATGTACTTAGTTGATGAACATATTAAGATATCAAAAGATCTTGATATTCTAAATAAACATACTTTCGGTTTTATAGCTTCTTTTAAGATTTCGCAAGCATGAGTCAAATACCACGATTCTGATAAAATAAATGATAATGAAATGGAGCAAAAACATTTATATGATAATTAAGTAAATGATAATTAGCATCACAAAAGAAACACTTTATTATTCACTTTCTAATGAACGTGCTTTTGTTCTAAAAGCATTTAAACAATATTTAAATGACATAAAGATATTGTTTGATAAAATAATACTGCGTTTAGGGTTAAATCTTCTTAGGAAACATTTTATTTAAAGAAAAAGAAATTTTAAAAATAAAACGTGTTTTATGTGCAAAATGTTCAGTTTTATTATATTAATTATTATTAATAATATTTTTTATCTTTTCTTATTCCCCCTTTTACTTTAAATAATAAAATGTTCGTTGAGAAAAATGTTTTTTTTTTTTTTTTCAAATTTCTTCTGGTCATCATAGATTTAATGAGCGGAATGTTTTTTCTACTTTAGTGGTGTAGGGTGTTTGTAACGCACAATAATATTGGTCCTATACCCACCTTAAAGTATACCAATCGGCTCAGAATCATTTTCTGAGTCGATTTAGCTATGTCCGTCCGTCCGTCCATGTAAACCTTGTAATCAAACTACAGGTCGCAATTTTGAAGATAATT